TACGTGAGTCCAACATGAGCTCACTTGGCCCACTGCCTCCAACTACTGCAAACACACGTCCCTCTCGAAATGCATCTACGCCTGCTACATCGCTTCTTTCATTCTGATCTAATGCATCAAATCCTATTTATTGATGCCAGTACAACATTACTGAGGAAACACTCGAATCTTCACAAAACGACGAGGAACACTTGCAGGACTATCACTCCACAATGTCACTTCACGAGACCTTTAACGCCTCTCGTGGTTCACTCCGGTCACATTTACCAAGGCTCACACAAACGCTCCACACATCATGCTTTGGCACGCAACACACACAAAATGTATGAGGATGCGACCACATTGGATTCATACCTGGGTATTCGGGGAAGCAGACGGTAAGCGGTGACCGTTTAATCTTCTCGGCGAACAGGTCCTTCTTGTTGAGGAAGAGGATAATGCTGGTGTCGGTGAACCACTTGTTGTTGCAGATGGAGTCGAAGAGTTTGAGGGACTCCTGCATGCGGTTCGTGGTCTCGTCCTCGTGCAACACCTGATCGTACTCACTCATGGCGACGCAGAAAATGATCGCGGTGACATCCTCGAAACAGTGGATCCACTTCTTCCGCTCAGAGCGCTGTCCACCGACGTCGAAGAGTCTAGAGGGAAAGCAAGCAGTGAGGGAGCTAAATACGCATACTTATGGCAGTCGTCGAGGTACTAGCAAATGAACCAATTCTGTCGTTGTCACCACTTTGGGACGATTATTGCAAAACAGTAGGTAAAAATGTTATGGTGTGAAATGACGTACTGCTTAAAACAACTCAATTGAACTAACACCTGGTTTCTTCATTGCTGGCAGATACGAAGCCTCTAGCTATATAGCAATTCAATTTCTCAATTAGTTTGCATTATGGGGCAAAAGGACGATGAACATGGATAAACCCAACGATTTACGTAATTAAGAAAACCCAGGCGAAGATATATCCAACCTCCGCTTCATTTAAGGACACAAATCAAACGCAATAAATGGGATTTAAGGTGAGAATCGTCATCTGCGCGCTGTTTCGAGTTCCCGTGATCAGGGTTATGATTTCAGTTGCGCGTAAATCTGCCGAGAAATTGGAGTAGGAGGAAGAGGGTAATGAAATGTAGTGGTCAGCTCACTTGAAGTTCATATTCTTGAACTGGAAGTGCACTTCGACAATCCCGGTGGTCTTGACACGAGTTCGCAAGATGTCCTGCTCTGACGGCTGATAGTCCTTCGCGCCCAATCTATCCAGGTCGTCGAGGAAACTGTATTAAAACAACAACCGTTTGATAAGCACCAAAAAACCTGACTGAGATACAGGTTGCTAGTTGCCAGTAGGAGAATGGATCTATCCGATAGGTATAAGTATGAAAGTTTCCCTTTTTAGTAGCATACATTCACGACTCGAAACTTAGCCGCATTCTGACACTCATACTCATTCGCCGGTCCTGTGACTCTCACGCTAAGCAGGACAATAGCAACCAATGATAACACAAAACAAGCGCCAGTGCATCATGACTACACAGGTTGCTAAGATGCTACTTTGAAACTCTGGCTTTTACAATCTTCCCTGTCGTAAATAATATCTTTGATTTTGATCCCTCCATCTTAGGTAAAGGTGATGAATTTAAGTAGATATTGCATAAACGAAGTAACATTTTATAGATCGGGAATCAGAGTTCGACGCCTGTTGAAGACCGGCCATGGATACACGACATACTAAATAAAACAAACGGATTTTCCTAACGGTACACGGATAGGCTGCGGATTTAATCTGGTGCTTAATCACCACTGCAGATTTTTTGCTGCGGCTGTTAATAGACCTTGCTGTACGATTAATGCGAACCAGAAACCGTAAAATCATTAGGGAAATTGACGTCTAATACTGCCCAGTAGATGAAGGCAATACTTTGCATAACTAGAGGCAAGTATTAACCAAAACGAAGATTAAGATAAGCGTTTGTGGATCCATGGAATTCGAAAATTGTGGGAACACCCCTATAGGAAGGCTTTGTGTAAGAGCACCCTGTGAGGGAACTTGCAAGTTATCCCGAGATTCACTGAATAAATACACATACTATTTAGCAGAGTCGTTGAGCTGGTATTCGTTGGAGCGTTGGAAACACTGCTGGACGCCGGGATCGGCCCACAATCGCTTCATGGCTTGTAGAAGTTCAAAGGAGAAGGGCTCGGTGTCATGAATTGATTGGATAACCTCGTTCACCATACGCGCATCCTCAGCCTAGACAAGGACAACACAGGCACTGAGTAAACATGCCACTCCTGCTTGCTCATTTACGCGTTGAAACAAGCAGTGTGATTGGCGACCACGGACGGCTGACCATAGTAACGCCTATCTTTAATACCAGATTTGAGCAAAAAGACCACCAAGTCAGCAGAAAGCGGACGCAGACGGAATAAACAGATAGGAGGATGCAGGCGCAGACGCGTTGGGGTGAGATTGGAGCCTATAAGTAGCCAAAAATAGCAACGCCTTTGCCCGACCCACGGTAAAACAACTCTGGACACGACTAAATTTACTGTTGCTGCGAGACGGTAGTAGTGTAGGGCGTGCAATGCACCCTGAGCAGCTCCGTTTCGCACGGACGATGGCCTAATAAAAGAGCGGACAGGGGAATGGCCTTGCGCTAATTGCAAATGGGAGGAAAGGAAGGGACATCCACCTTCGGGTGGTGAAAAACCTTAGGGCTATCAGACAAGATGGCACTAATGAAGCAGCAATACCCGGGACCGCCCAAGTACTCACCCCCTCCCACTGGCGCGACCGACTCCAACTTTTTGCTGCCGATTTTCCCGCGGGAAATCCCGTACATCGATGGTGCCGTGACACCAGCAGGTCACCTAAGGGGACCAGCTGAACGCGTTCACCCCGAACAACGAATGATCTTTTCATTAAATGGTGACAAGTTTTTTAAATACAACTTTGCCTGGTGAATATCGTCCAGAGATATACTTGGGATGCTCAAGCACTACCAAAGACACCGACAAGTGGTCCGAGGGCTGTTTTGATGCTTCTTGTTTCACCAGAACACAAAGGCTTCCCGAATAGACACAACATACAAGCGTTTCTGATAGCAGACAAGAAGGCCTCTTCTCCAAGTCTTCGTGAGTGAGTATTAGAACTACGAAAACATGAGATTATCCTCTCGCAAAACTGCTTTGAATAAAAGCGTAATTCATCGTGACTGTGTTGTGCCTCTGTCAATAGGCAATGCATGGAACATTACACCATCAAATACCCGAAAAAGTCCAACATCGGATGAGATAATGGCACAACGGAAGCAAACGGCAGCTTACACCCTGCTTCGGATTGTCAAAGGCGATGCCAAGGGTGTTCATTGCACGAAGAATGGCAGCGATCGATTGGATTGTATTGCTGTAGACCACCGGTTTGAACTGTTTGTTGTCCTCCTGGGTGAAGCCTCCCTCGTGAATTATCCTTCGCGTGGAGAGAAAAAGTGTCAACGCTTGCGGAAAACACCGCCTACCTGACAGCGGCAACAGCTGGACAGTGTTTGTGTAATAAATATTGTGGTTTATCACTGCTTACAGAAACACAAAATTTGACGAGTGTCCAATAATTACTACACGGGAGTAAAAAACAACCGGGCAGATTCCTAGCAAGTTCCAGGGTGCCATTTAGCATATCTGGAACATCTACCAAAGCCGGATATGTCACATGAAGTGCCCACACTGCCTTAGAAGACTTATTCTCGTTGGACTGCATAATTATAACAACACGAAAGGGAAACCAGAACTGACTCACCTCATTTGTTTCACAATCGTACTCTTGCCGGATTCACCAGCCCCTAAAAATAAGGAAGACTACGTAAGCTTCGAAACGAAAACCCACTAGATGCACGCATGGAATGCCATCGTTTCCCACCAAGCTAGTCAGCTAGCAAGGTCATCGAGTTGAGAAGTAATACATTGCATCATGAGTCACTAGGCTTGCGATGCGAATTTCAATACCGAACAGACCGTATACAAACCTCGGCGTTTGAAGGTGAGGAACGCAAAGTCCTATTACTCACGTGTCCTTGTAAAACAAGTAAATTAATCAAGCATAACATCCACCAGGTACAGCGGAAGTCATCTAGGCGAGCAAAATGTGTGTACTGGCGCCACAAGGAACACTGGAACCACAGGAAAAACTGCACAAGAACCCTGTAATTCCTACAAATCACTGAAATTCTTGGATTGTAGGGGCACCGTTACAATCAAAAGACAAAATAAGGTCACAGTGAAGCTAACACAAGCTACGCTTCGGAACCAATAATAAGTTAGAAAACTTCACATTCTACTACTTAAATATTAGGGAAAACCTACTACAGGCATAAATTATTAGCAACCCTAGGGAGACATGAATGAATATTTCCAGCAACATGACAGGGAATAGATGATAACATCCGGGGATTTCGATAAAGCGTTACAGACAACCTGTCACATGATAGGTGTACAAGAGTACAAAACACATAAAATTAGTCTTTAACAAGTAACGTTAGACGTGGCGATAAATACTACAGCAACATTCCAGTCCCTTCGTAAAACATGTAAAATGCTACTTTTGTAAACGCACAGATCTACAGTATTGCAGATAGTGAGGGAGAGCGAGGACTTAACCGAGTTGTGCAACGTGGAGTACTAGACGTTAGACTTCAAAGCTCACCCAGGAGGAGGAGTTTAACGTCTTTAGCGGCCTGGATACCATCCTCCTTGAGTTTTTTGTCAATATTTCGACTCTGTTCCAGAGCCTCGCGGTCTTCCTTCGACAAAAGACAACCCATTTCTAAAGGCACAAAACCTACAAACTGACCGGTTACGAGCAATGCAACCAGGCATCTAAAGCGCCTTCAAATTTTACGCGCCCCAACTGCGCAGGCCACCGGAGAGCTAAGTAATTGGCTGTCCTGAGGCCAGGCTGGTTCGCTGATTGGTCACTGCCTTCCCACGGAAAGCTGTGTTCAAGAAAGTGTGGTACGGACAGGCGGCCTTCTCACGTGAAGGTTTCTTTATTTTGATAGGTTCTGTTGTCAGCGCGGGAATATTCACTTTGAAACACTTAGCCAATCAGAGAGGAAACAATTTTTAAATTAGCCTTAACGGCATAACGCCGATTCTTACGCTATGTGCGGATCCGGGTTGCGGGTGGTCGGGGTTGCAATGTCAGCACGGGGCTTCACGTATAATGTCGCGTAATAAAGTGCTTTTTTTCACCTAAAGGTTATGGTTTAACAAACAAAAGTTATGCTAGCTACCAAAAAGGTAACACGGCGTTATTTGCGTAGGTACTGGGCAAATAGGCACTTATCTGGGTTCTTATTTTCCCCCAACGAGCATTCAGTTTTAGCAACGTCTCAAAAATGAAGATGTGGGTCTCCTGGATTCTTGCCGTGCGGTCTGACGTAGTGATACTCATAGATGACGCAGACGGAAATTAAGTGATAATTTTCAACCCATCTTCCGTTCAACCTCATTAAATCGCATCACAACGCATTTGTCATGTATTCTGGAGAAGTTGCCTAGCACTCGTGTGGCATAGGAGCACGTAAATAATGTCGCATCCAGTTGAGCATCCACAAAAGAGGGATCCTTAGAGAGGGCGAAGTTAACTTCTCAAAACCACTTAGATAACATGCATCTGACACTAATACTAAATTGCTGAGTAAGAAGTCTTGGCGTAAATATCTGTTATTGGTACTGCTGTTTTTAAAAGTTCGCTGTGTTCATAGGTCTGACAAATATTTTTTGAAGACCACTCCCGACATTTAGAAAACTAAATACATTAAATGCAATATATTTATTCAGAATGAATATTCTTTTCCTAGTTCTAGTACATATGTAGATTCTTTTTGAATTTCGGCCAAGTTGAGGTGTCGAGAAGGAACGTCAAGGAATAATTAAAGTGGTCGAGCCTGTGCCCATCAGTTCTCAAACTGGTGAAACTGACTACAATTCCTTCATGACAAGGAATTCTTTCGGGGACGTGTAAACTTGTTCGCTTTTCGGGTCGGAAATGAGCGTTCAACGGTTAATCTGTCACCTAGGGACACAGCTCCTGTGAGCACTTAAGAATTGGTGTGTTTTTTAAACTCCCTGCGTTCAAAGAGCATGAGTGAAATGCATGCTAAAGCGGAACCAGGCAGCATGTCACGCATGTGGGAAATGTCCAAGACTCGTAATTACATCAAATATAATCGGATTATAACTTAAACACACAGGCTACTTTTCGTGATAGTCTAATTAATTCTTGAGTACAAAAACATCAAACTATGCTTTTAATGTTCCTCAAAATCCAGACCGGTTAGGAACCCACATTTAGGCGTTTAAGACAAAGAAGAAGAAGCTCGCCACAATTAAGTCATTTATTGAAGTTAATTTTCGTTATCATGGCGACAGCAGACATTTTGTTGACCGCGCCTTTTCATTGTAGATAGCATTTGCAGTAATGACGTAATTTCGTGGTCAGTTGTAGACAGGAATACCACCTTGAGGAACGCACTCAAATACTCGTGCAGATGACGGCGTCGGTCATTGTTCGTGTAGAAAAGTGTTGGCTTCGTGTTGAAAGCACTTGGTGCAAATTCAAATGTGCATGGCTTTTAGCGAGTTCGCTTATATATGTCTACTCGGTAAGGGTCAGTCGGCGAGTGTAATCCTTGGAGTCCTCAATCCTCACATCGCCAGCAATTTAAATACTTTTTTTTTTAAATGAATTGTCATAGACTCGAAAACGCAGGCTGCACATTAGTTATTTTTTGATTTTGTCCTCAAAAACGCCATTGTAGTTGGCAATGAGCAATTTCATAAGGAATCTTCCAATGAGTGTTCTTATGAACTGTTCTGAGTTGATCGAAAGGACTTGTGGCCGAATTTGGTTGGTTTTGCTGACTTGGGGGAAGTCTTGGATTTGCTCGAAATTGCTTAGCATCCATCAAACTTGCATTTTACTACATTGCAATCAGTATTTAAATAATTCACTGCGTTTAATGTAATTTACCCCAGTGATCTCTCAGAGACTTTAAAGCATGATCATCAAGTACCCCAGAACAGTCATTTCTAACCTACTTTTAGGAGCAACTTTGGCTAAATTAGAAGCAACCAAGGCAGGCTTCAAATTTAGAGTAAGCAGAGAACTCATTTATTGGAAAGCCATTGACCTGCAATTACTTAAGTATTCTCCGACACAAACCAGTCATCTACACCTATGTGTTAATGAACCTGAATAATGGGCAGCACTTGTTCCACGTCAGATTTTTGTAATCTAACATTGCTTTTGCATACACCTGATTTGTGCCATTGTGCTAGGCCAAATGGACAAATCCATCCATTACTTCTAGCAAAAGATTGGGCAGATTTTCTATGGCCTGACTAGTGGTTGAGTTCAAGAAAGGAAGAATTAATGTTCCAAACAGAATCGCTGAGGATGGAACAATGATTTTCTTTCACAGACGCAGCCTGTTTTGCGTTTTCGAAGCTTCTGAAGGCATTTTTGATACTACTGAGATCGGAGATATTTGGCGGTATTCACAAAAGCGAGACTCTCGATGTTCGTAATTTGAGGCTGTCTAAATATATCGTGGGATTGGCTATTCTTATCGCAGCTGGCTTTTTGAACAAGAGCGCCGCTATGAAGAACTCATTTGCACAAGTCGAAGGGTCATCCTCTAGTCGTTGTGATAGCTGACCTTTAAATTTCCTCCAATCTTGTCCTGTTCGGGCTGTGACTGCGCAATCAAAAAACCAGCAGTGCACAACACTTACTGACTACCAAGACCATAAAACACTGTCAGTTCTCAAGTGTGCACACGTGCTTATCTACCTTCTATGGTCATTAGATTGAATCTTATGAAATTTTCCTTGAACGTGTGGCGTGACCCTAAGTTGCTGATTGTGAGTCGGCAGAAGTGCAGTGATTGAATTTAAATTCACAAAGGATCATGTGTAAGAATAAAATGCGTGTCTATCTGAATACCTGTGTTATAGACACAAGTTAAAATCACGAAGATGTCTTGAAAATAATCTGCTAGCCGAATTCGGTTTAAGCGACACGCCATGCCGAAGCATTTCAAATCACCTAGGCGTCTCTTCATTAATTTAGAATGAAGAAAATCCAAAACCATGTTATTTAAATCCACCGTCAGTTCTAACTCCTGGTTTCGCGTGACATCCCCAGTTGAACAAAATCCAATAAGATTCCCATGTGTAGATCTGAGTGTTAATCAGTAACTTGGTTAAGAAAATGATAACGCTAACAAAATTTCACATGAGTCCAGTGAAAGTAGACAAATGGTTTGTTCTCTTGCGGGGTTGGGTAAGTGAAGGTCAGGAGGTCAGTCGTTTTCGCAACCAATTTGACGTGAATATTTACCACAACTCGTAAAGGCAACTAGCAGGTAATGTGTGAGGCCAATGGGATTTAAGCTGGTATTGGACATCAAATAGTCTTCTTTATCAAAAAAAAACGGAGCGTTGCAGAGCTTTTTGTGGATCGGCCCAGATCATTCTTGAGAGGTATTTACAATGCGAATGAAGGCATGTTCAAAGACCTCAGAATTGCCACTTTGTACAAGTCACTTTTTAATGAAATATCCTAAGAATGTAGCTAAACCGACATGTACTTTTTAGTATTATAAGTGCTTTTATTGTTTGGATGGTCATTAAATATAATACTGGTCATCACATTTTAGATCATGTAATGGTTGCCATGATGGCGCCTCATTTGTCATTATTCGGCAGCAGGGTCATCTAGGCAGTTTGTCTGAATATTTTCAACTTAAATGCGATGTTTAGCACCCATGGAATTGGCAACTTGCTTCAGTCTGCTTTCGCTTCCAAAATGTTACAACAGATTTATTTTTAGTTCAGGATTTTCGACTAATTAGCTGATGACGCACTTGTGGTGGGACGGAAAACAACATTTCTTGTTTGATAGTCTTTTCTGTTGCACTTTAGCTGTCAGGTAACATTAAGGCCCTAAAAATAGGGACATAGTGTTCGGCCGCAACACTATCTCAGCTGTTTGTCGGAATTAATGGTTAGCGGACAAGCAAATGTAATGATTAAGGACCGGAAGTCTGTTTGCAAGGGTGAAAAATGGAGTAGTGGGTGGCATTTTAAAGATCTGGGCCGTTAGTTAGTTTATGCGTACATAAAGCTTTAAACGAAATAAAGAAGAGAGAACGTGAATGAATTTTAACGGCAATGGAAAACCGCTTGGAGATTTTTGAAGAGGTGCCCGCTGTTTCAAAGTATGCTGGCACTATTGTGGGGATCGAATTAAGTAAACAAACAGAATGGTCTGGACTAACCGAATCGATGACTAGATTTTGAACAAGGCCTCCTCATATTAGCATCGAATCCAATACAACAACGCACTGTGACAATGCAAAGTTGCTTCGAACTGAATCGTTTTCTTGGTGTGGCCTTCATACTCTTCAACACAAAAATTGCACATCTGAGTGTCCTTTGGTTTTTGTTTATCAACTGCCTCTCTATGTTTAAGGTAATGCCACCCTGATCATTTGCAGGGATGTATGTTTAGTCCATCAGGCCGACCAAGAGAGAAATTATCAAGGTATTCCAAACGCATAAGCTCTTGAACGTCGGATACCAAAACACGCAACCAGCGGACAAAATACGCTCGATGGTTGGAAGTCGAATCCTATTTAACCCCAATCTAACGCAACAGAGAGTCAAACATTGTTGGAACGCTTTACAGTCCAATTCGCAATTATCGCTATTTTTCTTGATTCAGTATCACCATCGGCAACAGCATTGGCTGTTGAAAGAGACGAAAAAAGAAAACTCAAAAAAGCAACCGAGGGTCGGGGTTGGGGCCGCGCGTGAGAACAAAACACGCACACACACACGATCGCGCACACATACACACAAAGGAAGAAGGAAGGATTGATTTTTCACAGAAAGCGACGAGCCTCCTGGAGAGCAGGAAAGGGGGATTGCCAGACTAGCATGGGCAACACCACAAAGCTATTATCGGTCGCGAAACGATGGTCAGGGGGCAGAAGGGAAAGAGGGGCGAGACAAAAGATCGAAGGCGTTCATTGAATGGACGGAGGAGGCGAGGCGGGGTCTAGTAGAGGCCACAACCCCTCAGGTTGTTGGCGATGATCACATCGGTCACGGCGTCAAACACAAATTGAATATTATTCGTGTCGGTTGCACACGTCTGGTGACAGTAAATCTCCTTGTTCTGCGACCGGTTCTTCGCTTCAAACGACGCCTGAATGTAGATCGCGGCCTCCTCGTAGGTCTGCTTCCCTACAGCCACCAACAAAAAAAAATAAACTTCAACATTCCATCCACCTACAAAGGCCTCTACGTACCACTGCCAAGTTTGTGCACCTTTGACAAATGCCACTGCACGAATCACAACACAATTCACGCACCTCCGCATACCTCAATACGAGTTCCATCTACGTACATTCATTTCAATTCATTCAATTCGGGATTCACCAATTAACTCGTTTTACCAACTTGAAACCTACACCCTGACACAAATACACAAAATCATCTTCGGGTACTTGAATCCACAGCGGTGTCGC